AGGGGGGGAAACTGGAAGCAGCCATTGCATGCCCACCCCCTAGCTGTCCTGGCTGGGGGGGGCGGGAAGAGAGGGCTAGGCCTATGTGGTGGGGCCTCTGCTTTCTACTCCTCCCCTGCTGCTGTCAGGGGAGCTGGGCTTATTTATCCTGGAATAAAAAGCAAATCATACATATGTCCATTTCCATTGTCCTGGGATACATCTTAAACAAATTTCCCAAATAAGAACCACTACAAAGTATGTATGTATAGTTATCATGGAATTACATTATTGAATCTGTGGCTAAAGTAGCACTGTATTTAGCTGTTTGCTAAACCCTGATTAGAAGGGCAATGTGTGTATACACCAATCCCAGAATGTTGTTGTTCCAAGCACAATTTATTCAGGGACAAATGAAATGTCTGTTGCTAACCTTTGACAACTCATGGAAGTCAGGTGAATTCCTGGATTGGAAAAGGGCAAATGTAGTGCCATCTTTAACAAAGGGGAAAAGGAGTATCTGCGGAGTTATAGACTAGTCAGTCTGACCTAGACACCTGGAGATCATGGAGCAGATCTTCAAGGAATCTATTTCAAAATATCTTGAGGAGAACAAGGTGACCAGGAACAGCCAGCATAGATCCACCAATGAAGTGTTATGCCTGACAAACCTGTTTTACTTCTATAATAGGATGATGGGCTCGGGGAGGCAGCAGATGTGATATACTTTGACTTAACAAACGCTTTTGACGCTGCCTCCCATGACATTCTCATTAAAAAGGCAAGACTAAGCAAAAGCACTGTAAAGGTGGCTACCTAACTGGCTGAATCATCACACTCTAGTAGTCATCAATGGCACAGTGTCTAGCTGGGGAACCCCACTATCAAGTGGATAAACTGGAGAAATGGTCTGCAATTAACCAGATGAAATTCAACAAGGACAATTACAATTACAAAGTCCTGCATTTGGGCTGAAATAATTCCATGCACAAATATAGACTGGGGACTAACTGGCTGGACTGGTCCTACCGCAGAGAAGGACCTATGGGATAATGTGAACCATAATTATGCTAAATAAAAACCAAGAGTATGCTCCTGTTGCAAAAAAAAGCCAACAAATATTGGGTTGTATTAATAGGAATGCCATTCATAAGTCAAAGAAAATTATTCATCCTGCTCTATTCAAACACTGGTGAGACCTCATCTGAAATACTGTGTCCGGTTTTGGGCCCCACACTTCAAGAAAGATATGGACAGATTAGAAAGAATCCAGTGGAGACTGACAAAAATAATTACAGGCCTGGGAGGTACGAGTGACAGGGAAAGATGGAAAGAACTTGAGTTATTTATTCCGGAGACCACTGCAGGGTAGGAATTTTTTTGGGGGGGAGGGCGGGAGGATTGATAACAGTCTTGAGATACCTGAAGGAAAATTATAAAGAGGATAGAGATAGCCTTTTCTTAGTGGCTATAGGGGACAGCAATAGGAGGAATGGCCTCAAGATGCAGTAAACAAAATTTAGGTTGGCAATTAAGTTAGGAAGAACTTCCTAACTATGAAGATGGTCAAGCATTCCAACAGGCTTCCTAGAGAATTTGTGGACAGTCCTGGATATTTTCAAGAGCAGGTAAGAGAGACACTTTATTAGGATGGTTTAGTAATGATGATCCTATCTTGAGTAGGGAGCTGGATTAGATGACCTCGTAAGGTCCCTTCCAGCTTTACTTCCCTATGATCCTATAAAATTGGTTAAATAAAATTTAAGATCAATACTAACATTCAAACAACAAGAGGAAAGTTTAAAATCCTGTATACTTCCATATGACAAAGCCACAAAGTTTTTTTTAATAATGTATTTCTTGCAGAAATACGCATAATTTTAGAGAAGGCAAATAGAAGAAAATACACTTTTCAGAGAGTTATGCCTGCATAGAGCAAGAAGAGAGCCTAATCTTTATTGACTCACCCTCCCTTTCCTGCTTAACTAAAAGTTGGTGCCCTAGCTGCTGCTGAAGACTGGTCTCCATAGGGGAATCTATGTTTTTGAAAAAAATAGTCTGCAGGGCTATGAAAATAGAAGAGAAATCAGATAGCAAAATTGCTAGAAGAAAGTTTAGCTTGATTAATGGAACATCAAGACCATAAAAAAAGACACCTATGGATTGAAGAACAATGAGTCCCCTCAGCTGCCTGAATAGTAATGCCACTGATGCTGCTTTGTGGTACAGTAATTGAAGTAGGAGTAGCACTGAAGTAGCAATAATTACTTCTATTCCAGCCAGAAAAATCTGCCTCCCCAATTAAAACGCACAATTCTGAGGGGCTGATTTTTGGGGAAAAGGTGTAGTATCTAAGTAAATACAATTTTGCAGTTTACAAATCAAAAAAAGAATTATACAATAACTCAAAGGCCTACAAACCATATGCTGCACATGAGACTGCTCCTTTAATTAGATATGTTTTGTGCTGAAGATGCAGATAGTCTCTCACTATTTTTAGGGCCTGTTTTTTGTTTCTCAGAATATACTAGAATCATTTGTGCATGTCAGTTTATCCTCAAATATCTGAGTAAGTTTAATAAAGTTAAATTTAGATAAATGATTTATTCCTTGCTATCTTAAAGTTGGACAAATTAGCAAGGAAATCTTAAGGGATCCAAAATTGTTACCCATTTGTTTAATGTTAGGAGTAGAGATGTACAAAAAGTCATACTTTTGATATATAGAACTTTACGTACAAATCAGAGGCTCAGCAACTTAAAACCAACAAAGATTTTATGCAGCACTCAGCAGAGGGCAGTCAAGAGCAAGCCTACAGTGCCTTGGACTGGCAGAAGTGGTGAGGGGCTTGGGTGCATGTTAGGAACAGTGGGGACTGGTATGAGTGGCAGGCAATGTTGCAGAAAGAGCTAGTGGCATATGGCTGCAAGGCATCTTGGATGTTCCTCCTCACACATACACCCACCCCCACTTCAGATTTTCCTCCAACCCAAGATGACTATGAAGCCCCCAGCTCTAATTTTGAGAAGGAGGAATTTTAAGGGTTGTGTGGGGTGGAAGAGCAAGGCAACTCACCACATGTTCCCATTGTGAAGTGGACATCAGGTCAACTCCCCTTTGGCCTTCCGTAAGATCTGACCTACTATTAGCATAAGGTTGCCCACCCATCAGCTTGGATATACATTTCTCTGAATTTATGCTGTTTTCTAAAGTTACTTTTATATCTAGGTAGTATAAGTGATGTTGTAGATACAAAAGATATTAAAGATATTTTCTTTTATATCTGGAAAATCCACAGTCACAAAATTATCTAAAAACTACAAAACAAAAGACAGATATTCCAAATACCAAAAAGCACATAAATGAAACCAATATAATATTGAAACACATTATGCACAACTAGGTTGGCAAAACATCCTATCACAAAACTAGCCAAGTGATTTTTTTCTTTAGGTGTGCTGTTCAGTATGCAGACTACAGAGGACACTTCAGATAACAGAATAATATTTCTACAGTACTATCTAAAGTATTTAGGACAAAAATTTAGTTTTTAGCTAGGTAAATCTAACCAAACTCACAGTTCAATGGCTTTATTCCACATGATGACATAGCCTGAGAGAGTGAAGGATTCCACATTGACAATATGAATGTTTCCTCTTTCGGTGCCCACATATAGCCATTTACTTTGAAAAGGCAGATGGCAAAATGTTATCCTGCAAGAGAGAATGGATCCAAAAAAAGGAATTAACGAAACCTTCTGTAAATGTGATAAACACTTTGCTAAAGCCAGACATTAGAAAAAAATTTTTTTTTCTCTGTTCAGCTGCAACCATGAAATAAAAAGATAGCTTCTGAAACTATGTTATTTAAAAACCTATCCAAAATCTAAAAGAAAAATTTCAGGTGTGAAGGTTAACTTTAGAATAAATGACAGAGCTTAAATTTAAATACTGAATACTTATTTGGGACTGTTGCCATTTTATATTATTATTATTGTAAAACACTGTAATCTTATTTAAGTTTCCAAGTGCATTTTTAAATTAATGATATAATCCACTGAATTTCAAGGGCATAAAGGATTTTAAGAAGTTACCTTGTTTTATAAGCTGGTTTCAAGTGAGGTCAGGTAATAGATATATAAATACAAGATATCAAACACGGTACACAAGTTACTAAACACTTTAAAATTTAACAAAAAAAAAAAAAAAAAAAAAATCAAGAAAACAAAACAAAAACTTAAAACAAACATCATTTCAAGAAAGTGTTTTAAAAGTAGTTTCAACCTTTCCCTTGTCAACTTTTTAGTTTTACATCACATTTTCTTTCCTTTGGCTCATGATTTTATCTTCCCAGTGCTAGGCAGAAGATCTATAGTATAAAAAGGAGGGTTTGACAAGGAATCAAAGAGTCATTACGTTTGCAGGGACATGCCTGGTCTCATATACAAAAAAATACTATGTTTTTTTACCTAGAACATTCTATGGTTCCCATGCTGCTCAACACTTCCTGCCAGTATTTGAGAACTAGTTTTTATCTTCACTAAAGGGTTTCAGGAATGGCAATTTCAGTTCCAAAGGAAATTCTAAGAAATAGATCTAAATCTAACAAAACCTAGATGTATGTTACCTTTAGAATTCCTGAACTTTATTTACAAAAAAGTATAACAATGCTTTGTTCAAACTTTTGACTGAAATTTTATCAAAATCAACACTACCCTCCTGCCACTCCATCACCACCTGTGCCCTCCCCTCACCTGCCTTTTCCACTGCTTACCTTCTGGTTCCAGCTCTGGAAGGGCTCCAGCCCTGCACCAGCCTAGGGCATGGAGCACATGGCTGCTCTGACCCCAGTCTGGCCTGATGGCAGCAGCAGTCATGACAGCAGCTCTGTGGCCTGGGCTCTAGCTCTGTGGCTCAGTCAAAACTACCACCACTGCAACAGCTGCTGTGTGGCTGGGCTGGGGCCAGAACAGTACTCCATGTCCCAAGGTGGAACAGAGTCAGGCTGGAGCTTGAGCTGGACGGTAAGTGGCAGTGGGGAAGGAGAGATATCACATCAGGAAGCAGGCACCAGGGGGGACAGGTGCTAAGAGATACAGGTATGGGGGGGGGGGGAAAGGTGGGGAGGAAGGAACTAGCTAAGCACAGGCACTGCAGAGGGTAGCAGGTACTGAGAGGCAAGGAACAGGGTTGGGTTCCTTGACTCCTCACTCCTGCCCCTCTTTCACTGCTTTCCCCACCACAACCATGGGAGGCCAAAGGAATTTAAAACAACCCTCCAATAATAAGATTTTAATATGGAAAATTGTAAAAAAAAAATTCTACGTTTTCCATGTAGAGAATTTAATTATTAAGTTCAGAGTCATCTTGGATTAGGTAAATATGGTACATGACAAGCCCATCACAAAAACTGGTCCCCACTAGGTTAAAGCAAGGCACCAAATCAAGTGAAATTTTGCAGTTTACTTTAATGGATCCAGACTTTTACCCCATCTCTCCCCTAGTACAATACTGCCACACTAGTATTTAAAACTGTTCATATGTTTAAAGAAAGGCAGGCCCTTATTAAAAAGGTAAGATCTGAACTGTAATTCTGGATTCAAACTTGATGCCAAGCATAGTCAAAACTCTAGGTAAAGAACAGTCTTAGTTTTAGGATTTAAAAATCAGATTTTCTTTCGTAATTGCCTTGAGGGATATGGGGAGGAAGAAAGTGTGGGAAAGTTTCATGGGAATTTTCTGATGGCATTTTGTTTTGTTGGTAAATGCCAGCTTGTTGAATCCAAAATATTTCACTGTTGGCAGGGTGGGCAATTATTTAGGGTGGAGGGCAAGCCATTGAGGGCCACAAGGGTAGCCCTGCCCCTTAACAGGTGCCCCGCCCCCTGGCTGCCATCTTGGGACTGGAAGTCCTACCCTCTAACCCCTGACCTTTGCCACCAGAAGTTCCTCCCCCTGGCCCCAGAAGTACTCCTTTCAGAAACAGGTTTTGCCATCTCGGAACCAGAAAAATACCAATTATATTCTAAAAATCAGACTACTGCAACATTCATTAATTTAATTTCAAAAAATATTTTTGTCCCGATTTACATGTGGTTGTGTAGTATACATAGAGGTGATAGTATAATAGCTTAAAATAAAGACTTACTTTTGTATATTGGGGGGGGTGAGGGGTATAGGTGTGGGAATGTACAGTATAGGGGAGGGTATGGGTGTGTGGGGTTCATGGGGAGAAAAGCATGCGGGGGTGTATGTGGGTGGGTACAGGGTTTGTGGGGGGCTATGAGTGTGTGGGGGGAGGGTGGCTGGGGGGGGTTGTGGTATGTGTGGAGGGGGAGTGTTTGCCTGCAGCATGCGCCCTCCCCCGAGCCCCTCCCCCCACCCGCAGCATGCAGAGCCCCTGCCAGAGCTCTTCCAAGCTCAGGCTCCACACTCCTACTGCTCCTGGCCCTGGGACACTGTCACGGGCCCCGTGCTCCTGCTTGCCGCCACTTCCCCCTCCTGTCTGCCACCGCTGCCCTTCTACCGCTTCTCCATCCTCCCGTGCTTGCTGTTCCAGCACCACACCCCAGCTGCAGCCAAGACTGCAGGTGGCAGCAGGAGCTGGCCCAGCTCAGCCAGCACTGCATGGAGCTAAGCAAGAATCCTGGGGGCCGGGCCAGCTCCTGCCGAGTCCTGTGGCCCAGCACTGCAGCTGGGAACCACGTAGTGCTAGAGTGGCAGGTGGGGGGAGGGGAGTGGTGGGAGTGGCAGACAGGAAAGTGGGGAAATGGCTGCAGCAAGTGGAGGGGGAGTGGGAGCAAGCGGGCACATGGGAGTGCAGCAACAGTTGGGCTGGAGTGTGGGGCCTGCGCCAGTGTGCAGTGCCAGTAGGGGCCCAGAGTGGGGCAGCAGGAGAGTGGGCTGGCAGGGGCTCTCTGGGGCCATGCTGGTCTGCACCAGCAGGGAAAGTGGGGAGCTGGCCTGGCGCCATAGAGCCCCTGCCATCCTGGGCCCTGCTCTTCTGCCACTGGGCCCCAGGCATCCCATCAGCATGGGCCCTGCGCTCTTGCCTAGCTGTTGCTGTGCACTCCCACTTCCCCATTGCCTGTTGCAGCTGTCACAACCCAAAGTTGTGGTTTTTTGTTTTTGTGTGCTTTGGCACCGCTAAATTATGTTCCCGCCAAATTGCAGCTTTTTTGCACGGTAGAGTTTTCTGCTGCAATAGAGGAACCCGCGTGCAAAAGAGTATTTCCCGCCGTTTGTAGCCTTCTTTGCATGGTGCATTTCTTTTGCATCATAGTGATGCACGGTGCAAAGGAG